AGGCTAGTTATTAATTGCTCCTCGTTCTGAGATAATAATTTTCACAACGTGCCTGGACATACAGATCACATATAATGCTACAAATCTTTAAATCGGTTACTTTGAAAAATATTGAACAATATAAGTTACACAAAAAATACTTCATTTTAAAAGGATTTTCTAAATCTGGCAATTCTGTTCCTCGTATAGTGGGGGAAAATGTTACACGTCTATTATTCGGTGTTGCACGGGGTGTGCATCCAAACGTTTCATTTATCAGTAGGTAAGAAAGCGAATACCAGTCTATTGCATATTAAACAAATATGTACACTAATTTCAGGCAATTCTCTTCAGATTTGCAGGTAGAAGAGAAAAACTGAGAAAGAATGGATCACTTAAATTCATTAATTCAAATGATCCACTTAAGATTAAATTCTGTAACTATTCAAATAATAACGCAGTTACGTACACGTTGAACTCTACCCTGCTGCATGCACTTGAAATAAGAACTTGTATTTGGCGTTTGCTGGATACGTTCTGAAAGACCCGGGGTTAAAGATTGGCTTTTTTTCCCCATTTTTCCAAGTCGCTTGAATTAGACACACTACTTGGTGTTAAAAATCTAACTAACAAATTAAGTTTCATTATTACAAGCTGATCAACTTGAAGTATATATAGGGGTTGAAACTTGCATTTTCTTACAACCCACCCATCCAAAGTGCTCGTCAATCACCACGCACAATATGGTGAGGTACAGAATAAACGTAATTAAAAAGTCGGTGCATAGAGATGTTTCCAGGCGATATATCGTTGCCTGGTAACCTGTTTTGTTCTAGTGGCTGATACGTTTACAAGGATATGGATCGTAACCTACGAATATACACACCGTATTGCGAATACCTTCCTTGTAGCGGACAATGACTTTACACGTCGGAACGATTTTAATGGAACTGAAATTAATATCCCATGACGAAGAAGATTGCAAGCCGTTTTTTTTTATTTCAGAATGTAAAAACTCAGGGGTAATTAAATTGAATTTATATTATAAAATCAAAAGAATGACGTCACTCGCCAGGTTGCGATGAAACTATATCAGACGACGATGATATTAAAAGCTCATGTTCGTTTATATAATTAACAGTTTAGTCGAGTTCCAGGAATTACAAGCAGCCCCTACCTACAAGCGATATGAAGTGTGTTGTACTGTTATTGGTATGGACGTCAGCGATTGTGTGTGGACACAGTATTAACCGTGTGGTAAGCATAAAAGTCCAAGTGTACCTTTTATCATGATTGTTGTTCGAATTTAACTGCGCGTGAATAATGCTTGGACAATACGGTAATGCGTTTATGGTTTGAAGTAAAAGGATGATATGCACTGATAAAAGAAATATAATAAGTTTATGTTTATCTTTATCTGACTAATATTTATACATGTCAATCTATTTTAAGTAAGTTGAACTTGCTGTCTATACGAATCACATTCTTATTTCCCGAGTCCATCGGAATGACGTCGAGTGACGACAGTATTTCTGTGAACTTCTACGAATTATTGATCAAACAGTTTACTGATTGATGCCGTGCCCAGCCCGGGGAATCATTTATACAGAGATTTCGTCGATTTAGTCGATATATTATTTCCCTATCACGATAATAGAAGGTTTGTAGCTAGAAGGGCTTAAATCTATAAATATATATATATATATTTGCAAAATGTCATTTTCTATATACAGTTGAATAAACGTGATTCCAAAAATCGTCATCTTATAAATACAATCCATATACAATCCAGAGTTATAAACACACATGTTATTTTCGAATGGTCCATTAGAATCAAAGTAGTTGAGACTATATGAATGCTGGAGTGTTGTCTTTTCATTATGAAGCAAAATTACAATTTGCTTGTTCATGTTTTATAGTAATTACTAAACGTAATACGTGG